GKKRRAAMCMAAMCMAMMMCYTTWMGATCAGAGACTACATAATTACTACGTGTTTTTCATTCACAGACAGAGATTAAATCCTYTAAATCAAACAAGATAACTTGCATTCAAACTTACCAAAGCCATTCTCGCTATAGCTCCAAGAGGCGCCGGCCAGTTTCATAGCTTTTACGCGAACAAGTCGCTGAAATACTCTWTGCCGACTTTCTCTGCAGCGACTGGGAGTGAATACAGAGTAAGATTTAAGTAAATGCTAATGTGGTTGCGTTGATTGTAAGTCTGCCAATAGAAACCGGCTTTCGCCTGGAGATCATTAACAATCGCAGCGGTCGCGATGAATTTATAATAACATATGTCTCCCGAGGAAAAAAAAACAATTCTTTTCACTTTCAAGGACCATTTACTAGGCTGTGTGAAGGGGTCTGTCAACCGCTCATCTTTAACTAATATCAGGCACACGGCCATAAGCCCTATATTTCTTAGACCCAATTCTGTGGAGAACTGTAGAATTTTAATGTTGTATAATAGTATAATTTACAATGTTTTTTCTAAAGGACCAAAAGATGCCGATTCTTGGCAACATGTGTAATGTTTATGACTTTTAACTTCCCTGGGGAGTTGCCTGGGGAGCTCCTGTCTATTTTCATATACGTGATATTAACTAAATATTAGTACTCAAAGTAACATAGTTTCTTTGTTAATCCTTAAATTTCTATCTAGTATTTTAAATTGCATAAATATCTAATGCAACATTGATGACCTGTTTTTCTAATTTTACACTCTTTTCGCGTTAATTATTTGAGATTTCTTTTTRGTGTTTTGTTTTGTTTTCTTTCTCGWGTTTTTGAATTAGTGAAGGTATGGMGGAGGTTAGAGTTAAAAGGCATTATTAATCACGTAGGTGGCATTATTTATCGTGGACAGGGGGCACTACGAACGCAGCGAGAGGGAGCTATTTTTATACTCTGATTAGAAAAAAAAAGATATATCGGGCATTTATAAATARAGGAAATTTTCTTGTCCCATTTCAATCAGTTTCAATACATAAAATATATAAGATTTGCTAAGACAGAAGTACTTCTGCTAAGAACAATTCTCTATGTCAGTTGAGTATCAGGATGCAATATTTGTTTATGTTTAAATTAGACGTCACGCGTACCTTACAATTATTCCGACTTCTCAATACAAGAACCAGTTCCAGGCTCGTTTGCCTCTTCTGTCACTCTCAGGCCCCCACTCCATGTCTACTAAAGCAATCYTTGTCTAAGCCGTTTTAGCTTTTTCTTTTCAAAAGAAGAAGTCGTGCCGCTTCTACTGTTTTCTACAAAGAAAACATACTGCTTTTACAAAGGAGATTTTATA